CTCTACTGCTTGCATTAGAGTAGTGTAGCATGTTACTGTTTTGGGTTAATCCTATTATGTTGCATAGCCTGTCATTGTTGCTACAGTTGTTGATATCTTACCTGCAATTCTAAATGCTTAGTATAAGATGCTAATATACCATCAGTGGCCCTACATTTTTGTCCGTCTGCCATGCTATACTATTGGGCCGTGATCACTAGGGAGGTGATCACGGGTATATACTATATATCTTATACATGATACATGTGATGACTAAAGACGGGTCGGCTCGTAGTAGGGCCAAGGATTAACACGGAATACAAACCCTAACATAGATATGAAACAACAACCCTAACCCTTGCCCCAACATAACAACACCCATAACCTTAACCCTAACATAGTAACAAGCCTAACCCTAGCACCAACATAAGAACACCCATAAGAATAACCCTAACATACTAACACCCATAATCATAGGAAATTGACAAACAAACATCTCATATCTCCACACAAATCTCTAGATCCATAAAAAATATGGTTTCCCCAAACTAGCAACAAATGAGTAATTTGTTACATTTCTTGGATCAAAACAAAGTGATCGGAGAAGATTACCTTGAGGGAGGGATTGAGTTCGAAATCCACAGATAAATTCTTCAAATTTGAAAGATTTGAAGAAGGATTTGAGAGGAGGAGAGAGGGCAACTTTGGGGGTTGGGGTGTGTGGGGGGTGGGGGGGGTTCAGCCAGCCAACTAGTAACAAACAGTGCAACGCCTACGGGCTAGGCGCTGCACATTACATGTGTGACGCCTAGCTCTGAGGTGCTGCACTGTTGGGTGCAGGCCCCGGGGCTGCCACGCTGGACAAAAGTGCAACGCCTCAGAGCTAGGCGCTACACCGTAGGGTGTGGCGCCTCCGTGTCAGGCCCCACTCAAAAATATCAGCCGAGTGAAAAAAATTTAGGACAGTTCATTTTGTGAAATGATTTCGTCCACAGGTTAAAATTGTCAAAATTGCCACCCCTAGTTTTCGCTCGTGGCACCAAATTTCGTTTTACTTTCTCTTGCAAGAAAATGAGCAAGTTTTCGGTTTCGCTGGGCAATAAGGCACTATTTTATGGCTGCATTCACATCTTTTGGGAGTTACTCCTATACATCTTTAAATCTCGCTATAATAAACTTGTATACAGAGATAGAGAGGCCGGTCATCATGCCCAAATCGACGCACCATCGAATTGATTGACTCGCTGATAACCTGCGAAACCCGTCGAGTGTTGACCCCACTCTCGACCGTTGGCTGCGAGGGGCACGCCACGCCGCACGCCTATGCCCGACCGTTGCAGCCTCCTCCCTACCCTCCCCGACGTTTCAAACCCGCGGCCCCGCATCCGGTGCCCATCTCCTATCCGACGGCCCTCCCCTTCCCCAGCTCCCCCCTCCCCTCCTCCC